TCAATGTACAGCACACTAAGGCCAAAGATCCTACATGAGGAGTAAGTGCACAGTGACTCCTGTTGTTGACTTAACAAATTGACACTCTTGTTTATGGCCTCAATAATCACCCTAGGCTCTTGTCATGAGCTGCCAAGGCTATGGAAGCCCCCTGAGTTCACTGACTCTGATCATATTTAGACAAGGCCATGGTCAAAGTGGAAGTTCTCTCCTCCCTTCAGAGAAAGGTACCTCCTTCTTTGATGACCCATTCTTTCCACTGGGATCTCACTCGTGGAGATCTTTCATTTAGGTTTTTTTTTTTTTTTTTTCCCCAGAGTGTCTTGGCTTTCCATGCCTGGAATACTCTCATGGGCATTTCAGCTGGATCCGCATGCCTTAAGGGCTGATTATGAGGCCAGAGTGCTGTTAGGACATTTGCCATTCTATGGGTCTGCTGTGTATCTCACTTCCCATGTTGGATCGTTCTCTCCCTTTTTGATTCTATCAGCTAGTATTTGCAGACACTAGTCTTGTTTCTGTGATCCCTTTGGTTCTTAGTCCTATCATTATGATCAATGTGAACAGAAATTGATCACTGGGACTAGTGAGATGGCATTGGTACATGCCACCTTGATGGGATTGAATTCGAATCCCCTGGTATGTTTCTAACTCTACTGTTTGAGGTAAGTCAGCTTGAGCATGTCCCGAATTGCACATCTCTTCCCTCTCTTATTCCCATTCTTATATTCAACAGCAATCACTTTTCAGTTAAGTTTCAGCACTTAAGAATAATTGTGTATTGATTACAGTATTCAACCAAAAGTATTAAGTAGAACAAACAAAAAAAATACTAAGAGGGATAACATATTAAGCTGTTCATCAACAGTCAGGGTGAGGGCTGATCAAGTCACCATTTCTCATAGTGTTCATCAGTGTTTCTTTATTTGAAAGGCAGAGCAACAGATGGAGGAAGAGGGGAGGAGTAGGTAGGAGGTGGGGAGAGGGAGGGAGGAAGGGGAAGACAAAGAGAAAGGTGGGGGGAGAGGGAAATGGATCTTCCATCTGTTGGTTCACTCTCCAGATGGCTACAACAACCAGGATTGGGCCATTATAAGCCCAGGACCCAGAAGTTCGTCCCAGTCTTCCACATGGGTGGCAAGAGCCTGGGCACTTTGGTCATCTTCTCTATTTTCCCAGGTGTATTAGCAAGGAGCTGGATCCAAAGTGGAGCAGCCAGGACTTGATGCCAGGGTTACACCCTATACCCACATGAATATTTCTTATCTCAACTTTCTCTCATTCAAATCCACAAGCTCTCTAAGTCCCTTTGTATTGCTGTAACAATAGCAAACTGAATTGCTCAAATACAATAGATATGTATTTCTTATACGTTCCTCACATTTTGAAGGGTTTCTTTTATAAGGGTGCTAATTCCATTCCATGACAGCATCACACTCATGACCTAACAATCACTTGCCAAGATATGCTAAGCAATTTTCCAGGTCAAAGAGAGGACAGAGCACAATGAATAAAGACAATGACAAGAGATTATGGAAAAGTTGAGGGAGAGGGGTGACTACAAGGTACACAGGAGATTTTACTGTCGAGAGTATAAGTCCAGAAAGGTGGAATGCAGATAGGTTCTTCCCTGTGTCCAGCAAGTAGATTCCAGTGGTACTGAGACATTTAGAGTAAATTATTATAGTCCTGGTGTTGCAAGGCATAGTGGGGTCATTACCCAGACCTCTCAGGATGGGAGTGGAATTTTTTATGGGATGCTTAAACTTTATTTATTTATTTGGATGATGATGAGAGAGAGAGGGGAAAAGACAGAGAGAAATGGATTTAAATCCACTCATTCACTCCTCAAATTGTCACAACAGGCAAGGTTAGGGTAGACTGAACTCCATCCAGGTGTTCTGTTCTATATTGGATGGTAGAGGCCCAAGTAACTGGGACTCTCCAAGCTCAATAGCAGGAAACTGGATAGGGAGTAGAACTGTTGGGACTTGAACTGACACTCTAACATGAGATGCTCCCATCTCAAGTGACAGTATAATTCACTGTGACATAATGTTGGCTCCAGTTCTGTGGATTTATTTTCTTGTAACATGTTTGGTTTTGGTAATGTTGTCTTATAGAATGAGTTTAAAAATACCTCTCCATTTTTCTAAAAGTGACTGTGGGTGATTGGTATCATTAGCTTGTAATAAATTTGGTAGATTCCATCAATTAAATCATAGGGTTGAAGGATGGCTTCTTATGCATATTTACTTTCATTAACATGCATGACTATTCACATGATCAATTCATTATTCATCAAAATTAAGGGGAGGAAGGGAAGACAGAGAGATCTAATATGTTCCCATTGTACAAATCTTAATGCATGTCAAGGTACCTCTCAAGTTATGTCTACTATGCATTTTCTCCACTTGTAGATTTGATGCTACAAGAATAAATGTGAATATTTGGAATCAAAAAGTCATAGCATCTCAAATGTTAAATTCATATTAAGTTACGGCTTAGAAAAACTCTATATTGCAACACATAATAAAAAGAATAAAAAGTAAAATCGTGTTGATTTTCTTTTCAGTGTTATTCCTAGTTTGTTGAGTAAATTAAGTTCATATCTTCTGGTAGTAATTTGTCAGCTTTAATCAGTTTTCATAAGATTGGTTTTATGTGAACACCAAGCTCTTTATAACTACCATGTTTGCACTTCATACATCCAATTACCTCAATATTAGGTAGTGTTTACTTAATTAGAATTATAATGAAATAATTTTTTAAAACAACATTTATGTGTTAAGAAGTAATATGCTTTTCTAAATGGAATTTTAGACTATTTTATTATAGCACAAAATGTCTTAACATCATTGTAAATAATAATGACTTAGCAATTAACTGCTCTATGTGGTCCCCAGAGAAAAAAAGAAAAGGAAATGAGATGAGCAATTTCTATAGTGATTTGTAAGCCAATAATTTATTAGAGTTTGGTAGATTACAAATTACAAATTCAGTTACATGCAGACAATCTCACAAAACCAAGTAAACTGGAGGGAATTTCAGTATCATGTCTGCGGCTGATGATCTAGGCCAGTTTGATAATGACCTGAAACAGACAGGCACTTAGAGCACTGATCTGATGAAGTCAGCCCCCTTGACAATGTAGCTCTGTGGTTAGCAATGATCCCTTCCATCCATGAGGCCTATTTGGTGACTTACTCCTGCTGTGCATTTTCTGTTTATGTGATTGATTAGCATTAGAATTTCAAACATAGTCTTTACCTGTTTGCTTTGGAAAACAGGGCAATTGTATGACTCAGCATCTTTGGTCTAAATAATGGATTGATTTCCATTTCTCAGATGTAACTGACTTTTCAAATATTTAAAAGATTACACCATGTTGAGTATTTGCTGTCAATATATTCAAATAAATATTGTTTGAATTTATTTTTTATTTCAAATAGAATTTTAGTGTATGTGTGGTGAATTTAATTTTTTAATTCATTTTTGTAAAGGCGGGGTGACACAAAGAGAGAGAGAGAGAGAGAGAGAGAGTTTTCATTTGCTTGTTCATTCCCCAAATGGATTGGGCCAGGAACCTGGAACTCTATCTGGGTCTTTCATGGATGGCAGGGGTCTAAGAACTTGGCACAGCTGCTGCTGCCTTCCCACACGTGTTAGCAGGCAGCTGCATTGGAAGCAAACCAGCTGGGATTCAAACTGATAGACTGATACGGGATGCTAAGTCCTTACAGCTTAACCCACTGTGCCACACTTCCCCATGTTGGGTTTTTATTTAACTTTGCTTGGTTGTTTTTAAATATTTGTATGTGCCATGCTTTATTTGCTTAAAGTTTTATTTATTTCTTTGAAAGGCAGAGATGCAGCAAGAGAGAAGGAGAGCAAAGAGAGATTTTCCATCCTCGGTTCACTCCTCAATGGCCACAACAACTGGGGCTGGGCCAGGCAGAATCCAGGAACAAGGAGCCAGGAGCCAGGAGCCTCCTCTGGTTGTCCCACAGGGGGCACAGAGGCCCATGCATTTGGGTCTTCCTCACTGTCCTCCCAGGCACATCAGCAGGGAGCAGGATTGGAAGCGGAAAAGCCAGGACTTGAACCAGAACCCATATGTGATACAGGCACTGCAGGTGGTGGCTTAACCTTCTACGCCACTGCGCCAGCCCCGCAATGTTTCTTTATGTTTATCATTTTTTGATATATGTGTAAACACACACACATAATTAAATTTTTGCTGTGTTAATTATTAAAATCAATTAATTTTGAAAACTAAGTATCAGTCATCATGAAACATAATTATTAATGTTATATTAAAAAGCTATTTCAATGAAATTAAATATGAACATACACAGACATAAAAGGCTCATTCGACTTCAAGTCATAATCATTTAATTGCAAGGGTTTTCTTCCACTCCTCTAAGATTGAATTTTCCTCACTATAACTACTTTAGTTTTTGCATCTGCATTTTTCCAAATTTCTAGCAATTTAAGTAACTTTATGAGTGACTAGGAGGGGAAAACTTTAACTATTTTCTGATAATTTCTATCAGTCCTGTTTTCACAATCTTATTTAATAAAAATAATGGAAAGTATTTTACATCAGGTACAGATTTTAACTAATTTGGTCCAGTAATAGAGCGAAGTGTGCACTGTTATTTTGTACTATGAATCTCAGAATAAGGTTTAGTTTAAAAGAACTATGGAGTGAGAGGACTGTGTAGTGGTCCCATATCTGACTAACCAATCCCATGTGACACTCACATCCTATATTAGAGAATCTGGATTCAAGTCCCGACTCTACTCTTAATTCCATTTTCCTGCTAATGAGCACTCTAACACCCATGTGAGAGACTGGAATTAAGTTACTGTCTCCTCACTCCAATCCAGTCCTGGTCATTACCGGCATTTGGGGAGTGAATCAGCAAGTAGGCACTTTCCCTCTTTCTCTCTTTTTCTCTTTTTCTCTCCCTCTGTCTCTCTTATTCTCAAACGTTATGGAACGTTATGGTGTAATAATTCTTGATGAGGCTCATGAAAGGACACTGGCTACAGATATTCTCATGGGTGTTCTAAAGGAAGTTGTAAGACAGAGATCAGATTTAAAGGTGATAGTTATGAGTGCTACTCTGGATGCAGGAAAATTCCAGATTTACTTCGATAACTGTCCACTCTTAACTATTCCTGGGCGTACACATCCTGTTGAGATCTTCTATACTCCAGAGCCGGAGAGAGATTATCTTGAAGCAGCAATCCGAACAGTGATCCAGATTCATATGTGTGAAGAGGAGGAGGGAGATCTTCTGCTTTTCTTAACTGGTCAAGAGGAAATTGATGAGGCCTGTAAAAGAATAAAGCGTGAGGTTGATGATTTGGGCCCTGAAGTTGGTGACATTAAAATCATTCCATTGTACTCTACGCTTCCACCTCAACAGCAGCAGCGTATTTTTGAGCGGCCTCCTCCAAAAAAGCAGAATGGTGCAATTGGAAGAAAGGTTGTTGTGTCAACTAACATTGCAGAGACATCTTTGACAATAGATGGTGTGGTGTTCGTGATTGATCCTGGATTTGCAAAACAAAAGGTATACAATCCTCGAATCAGAGTTGAGTCTCTCTTAGTGACAGCAATCAGTAAAGCTTCTGCGCAGCAAAGGGCTGGTAGAGCTGGACGCACCCGCCCTGGGAAGTGCTTCCGGCTGTACACAGAGAAAGCTTATAAGACAGAGATGCAGGATAACACCTATCCTGAGATTTTGCGTTCCAATTTAGGATCAGTTGTGTTACAGTTGAAGAAACTGGGTATTGATGATTTGGTGCATTTTGATTTTATGGATCCGCCAGCTCCTGAAACTCTGATGCGAGCCCTAGAACTTTTGAATTATCTGGCTGCTTTAAATGATGATGGAGATCTGACTGAATTGGGATCCATGATGGCAGAATTTCCACTAGATCCACAGCTCGCTAAAATGGTTATTGCAAGTTGTGACTACAACTGTTCTAATGAGGTCCTATCTATTACTGCTATGTTGTCAGTCCCACAGTGTTTTGTTCGCCCCACGGAGGCCAAGAAAGCTGCAGATGAGGCCAAGATGAGATTTGCCCACATTGATGGAGATCATCTGACACTGCTGAATGTCTACCATGCTTTTAAACAAAAACATATCTTTTTTTAAAGAAAGAGTTAGAACACATATGTAGATATGTTGAATATACATACGAGTGGGAAAACTTCACATTGTTATATTTCAATAACATGATGTTAATTTATTATTGATTAGTAGGTAGAAAACATAAGCAATTCTTATTGTAATCTGCGATTTCCATAAAAGCTAGCATTACTCATTATAAGACACATAGGAATCTACCCAAGTATCAATGTCTAAATATCCACATCAAGCTCAATTTCTTATTCCTTTTGCTAACTGAATTTCTGAGTATTACTCCTGGACTTTTAGTTTGAAAATCGGGAGAACTTTGAACATTTAATAAACATTTTTTCAGATGTTGATGCATCAAAGTTTTGTGTATATATATATATGTGCGTGGAGGGGTGTGTGTGTATATTATATATATGTGCGTGGAGGGGTGTGTGTGTATATTATATATATATATATATAATGGTTTAGACAATTTTCCCCTTGACTTATATTAGACTAGAAAACTTCCTTGATTTTTTGACAAACTTTTATTAAAAAAAAATTGGTAACCTTCAGCAGACATTCAGCAGGACTTGACAAAGTTTTGATTGAGGAAAGATTGATTCTCTAAAGTTTGAGTGGCCAGACATGCACTGAATTTGCTGCAGTTCATTGCTATATCCCAGAAAGGCTTTCTGGCCATTCTCGCCTAATGAGCTTATTAGTAAAAGGCTGAAAGGATCACAGATTGTCTATCAAGGAAGATTGTCAGTCACAAGCTGTTAGCAACTCGGCTGTGATTTATATGCCATGAGTAAAGAACAGAATGGTGCTAAAATGCTGCTTATTATGTCCCGCAGCTTGTGCAGTAACACAAATAAAAGATGTGGAGCAAAGGTTTAAAGGAAAAAAACAAGTTCTGAAGAAGAAAATCAAAGGAAATTAGACAGAATAATGCTTGACCACCTCCCATTTCCTTCAGTGGTCATTATAATGCAGAGGAAAATCAAGGCACCTGCGGCCGTAATAGCCAAGTCCAAATGACATTATTAAACTCCACTGGGAAAAGTTTTAAATTTTTTTAAAAGTCTGGTTGACTGCTGTTATCAACAGGTGACCTGGCTTTTCTCCTAGGAGATGGGATTTTTTTTTCATATCAGATAGATATATAGAATGCTCCATTTCCTAACATTTTATTTATACCTTAATTTTATTTCCAAATCAGTATTTAGAAAGTTAGACTTGGTATATCTTGTTTGTAGTCAAAGAAGTATCTCTAAGCTAAATTAGTTTATTGATAAGATTCTTTGGATTAGTGAAAAACTTGATGATGCTAACTTTTATGTGTTTGATCAACAATATTTTATATTCTGTTTCAATTCAAATTGTGATACAACTAATATAATTTTTCACGTGCACATTTTAATTTTCTGACAATTTATTAGGGACACTATATCAAACTCCTATCTTAAGATGACAATAGTTGAATTTTATAACCAATCCCTATTTATTAAAAGAGAAATTTGGTTTATAAAGTTTTTTTTTTTGCTTCTTTAAGCTGTTTTAAAACCACTTGATGAACACCCCGTTACTCAGAGAACTCATTTCTTCAATTCTGCTCCTAGAGCTGTCCTAACAAAGGAGTTGATCTCCCATTCTGACACAATTTGTAGATGTAAATTCTTTTATATTGCTGTGATCAGGATTATCCTAGCAGTGGGAGGAGTTAAAGTGACTGATCCATTCACAACCTTTACACCAGAGGGTATTCTCAAAGTGAAGAAAAGAAATCAGCCGAGGGATCTCATTATCTGGCCTACATGAAAAATCTTTATCAGGTAAATATAATAATATTCTTAGAACCCATTTCTATGGAATGTTCTTAGAGGGAACGTCCCTGATTAACATTCCTAACAAAAACTGAGCTCTGGGGTCAGCAGTGTGGCGTAGTGGTAAAGAACCCATATGGATGCTGGTTTGAGTCCCAGCTGATCCAGCTCTATTATGGCCTGGGAAAGCAGTAGAAGATGCCCCAAGTCTTTGGGCCTCCGCACCCACGTGGGAGACCTGGAGGAATCTCCTGGCTCCTAGCTTTGGATCAGCTCATCTGGCTGTTGCGGCCAATTGGGGAGTTAAACAGCAGATGGAAGACCTCTCTCTCTCTCTCTCTCTCTCTTTCTCTCTCACTCTCACTCTGCCTCTCCTTCTCTCTCTGTGTAACTCTGACTTTCAAATAAATAAATAATAAATCTTAAAAAAACTGAGCTCTTATTTGAATGTCACTTGTCAAAGAACCTTTACAATAAATAAAAGCAAAATCTATGAATTTATGAGATGGTTCTCAAGGAGATGTCATATAAGCTAATATGAAATGGAGATATTAATGGACAAAATGTTCTCTGGAGTCTGGGAATAAGCCATTTGTCTGACTGAGATATCATCTACTCTGGGCCAGGAAATTTGTTCTATGTTGAAATTACCAAGGCAGTTCTACCCAGATCCAGGATTTCAACATGACTTGTCTAATGTCTTGATAGCTTTGGTCCAAGAGATGGTTAATAGAGTTTAATCTTATTTGTGTGAGTCAGGTAAGTCTGATTTGTTTGAGTTTGAGCTGTCCATTGGGTACTTTAAGCTAAATTGATGCTATAGTACTGTTGTGATTACAACACTTGGCCATGAAAAGAAATAAAAACAGAATTCCATGGTTCAAGAATAGCGCCTGTACTGTTTCTGCAAGATGACCTTTTATTTACTCTCATCCTAAATCATCCTTTTAGTGAGGTAAAACTCATTAAACCACGTCCCTGAAAATAACCTTAAGTATTCTTATTTATGTACATTGATTGATATTCTGCTGCTAAACACTGAGACACAGCTATAATCTGTGTGTTAACTACAGTTTAAAAGTACTACCAATCCTCAGCTGTATTCATACTGAATTCTAAATCACACCCCATTTCACCTATACACTTTCACAGTCCAAACAAATCAAATTTTATCCAAATTTAAAATAAAAATAAGAAATATGGCTAAATTCAATTAAGAAATGGGTAGACATGGTAAAAAATTATATAAGCTTGACTGTACAAATATTTAAAACTTCTGTTGAAAACAATAATGTCCCAAGAAAATAAAATAACTAGTGGGATATTTAATACAATAAATAAGTAATGACTTTATTAAAAATTTAATAGAGTTAATTATTATGTTGGGTAAAAAATTATAAATTCATAAGGAAAATGTGTAAGGGAAGTGGAGGAGTATGCAGAGGAAACTCATCTAAATGACATATAAGTGGGGAAAATAATACACAATCTTGCTCAGGCATTAACATCACAAACTGTAGGTTTTCCTAAAAAATTCAGAAACCCCAAAAATTTGAATACATAGCTTTGATGAGAATATGGAGAAACTAACATTTTCACAAATAGTTCCAGGATGTGTAAGTAATGTTTTAAAATTATTAAATGTGCATTCTTTTTACCAAGTAGATCTTGAAAATTCTACTCCTAGCATGCTCAAACTGAAATAATTTCACAATTATAAAGCATATGCCTAGGAATATTTTGAAATAATTGTACAATTATGCAAAATTAGAAATGCATGAAATATAAATGAAGTGAGTATAATTAAATATATTGTAATGCAGATCATAAAGCATAGGATAGATCTGGGGCTGGATTTGCACCAGAGTGGATTAAGCTGCCACCTATGATGATGTCAGCATTCCATAAGAGCACCAGTTTCAGTCCCATCAATTCCACTTCTGATCCAATTCCCTGCTAATGTTTCTGGGAAAGCCGCAGATGACCAGAGTGTTTCAGCACCTGACACCATGAAGGAGACCCTGACTGCGTCCCAGGCTCCTGGTTTCACCCTGATCTTGCCTCAGCGGTTATGTCCAACTCGGGAGTGAATCAGTGGCTGAAGACCCCTGTCTCTGTCTTTCCCTCTTTGTCTGTAACTCTACTTTTCAAGCATAAATGTATGATAGATCTTTTTAAAAGTGTTCATGTGAAAAAATATCCTAATATTCTGTTCAAAGAATCAAGGCAAAACATTAGGTATAAAGGTCAAGCTGTCAGCTGGAATGTGGACATCCCACATGGCATGGCAGGTTTTGTTAACCTACATTTATTTGTAGATCTAAGATCTACAGTGGAGATAGTATTGTTTTTGTTGTTATTGTTATTTGAAAGGCAGAGAGAGAGGATGTGCCCTCCCATACAGTAGGCATGCCTGGACTGAGTTCTGAGGCCTCTCTCCACTCCTGCTTCCTGGTAATGCACACCCTGGGAGGCAGCAATAATGTTTCAAGTGATTGGCTTCAGGCCTCTCATTGAGAGATGAGGATTGAGTCCCCAGCTGGGGGTCTCTCACTGGCCCATCTTCTAGCAATTGCAGGCACTTAGGGAATGAATCAGTGGGTCTTAGTGGTATCTCTCTCTCTCTCTCCCTCATCTCTATCTATATTATCACTATCTTCTCTAAGTCTATATTTGTCTCTCTCCATCTCACAAATTTAAAACATTATATTAAATACTAGATGCTAATAAATAGAAGCTGGAATCAGGAACTGAGGTGGGGGGAATCATCTCACATATGCCCATATTTAAGGTGGGCATCTTTATGCCATCTTACCATCTACAACACTCACCTCACGTTTCATACTTTTAGGCAGTATGTTTTGCTGTATTTAGTCCTTATTACTTTAGCAAAACTTGCATTTCTCTCACTGTTATATTACATGATGGATATGATGCTTATAAAAACTGAGTTAAATGGGAAAAAGACATCTGCTTCCACCCACCCCTGCTGTTGCCAGTAACAGTGAATGATTTTCAGTGAAACTCACACTTGTGGGACTTAAAACTATCTCCTCTGTTACTGGGCACTTAGCCTAGTGGTTAAGGTGCTCCCCTTCAAATTACAGTGTCTGGATTCAGTTCCCAGGTCTGGCTCCTGATCACCGATGCAGACCTTGGGTGGGCAGTGGTGACGATAAAGCACTTGGGTTCTTAAGCCCACGGAAAGCTGAATTGAGTTCC